CCCCCCCCCCAAAAAAAAAAGCCAGGTGCTCTAACTTGTGTACCTGTACATTATAGCTTTAATTCCCTCCCAGTCAAATTAGAAACAAGAAAGAATCCACCGTATTGCGTATCCTTCGTGCAACGCCTGCCTCGTTAATAAGCATACTTACTTTTATTTTGAATGTGTACGATCACAAAATAATACTTCCGTTTGACTTCTGGTCAGCGCACTACTTCTGGTGTGTCACAAGAACACGCCGCGTTTACACCGCCACCTAGAGGCCTGGATGCTTCGTGAAAGAGCCCAATTCGACATGGTACGACTGATGAAGTTGTTTTTGATATTGTTGCACAAATGGTTGATGGTTGAAACTCGGTCGTCCATGTACCGAGGAACCCTATCAACTCATTTTCAATAAGATGCAATTAATTGGGCCTTTGCATTGAAGTGTTTTTTATACGTATACGTGGATATGATGAGACAACGTGATGGACTTTAGTCGTTTACTTGAGCGCTGATATTTTTGTGACCCTTTTTTTTTGGACGTGGGATGGATGGATAAAATAGTGCAAGAATAAAACCCCACAAAACAAAAGTAAGTAAAGTAAATGGGTGGGGAGAGCCCCAAGATAGCGAAGTAGGACGTTGTGTTGTCGTTGATCTTCTTGTCAGCCAACCTAACTGAGTCGACGCGCCCGGAGCACAATGGAGGCGGGGGAACGCCGCGGTCCAAGGCGATGATGGGATTTCCGTCGCCAGCGAACGCGACACGTCGGAGGGAGAGGCCGCTTGTTGACATGAGCCCCTGAGCGGCTTTCAAGCTAGCTCGTCCGCATCTTAGTTAGCGCCGCAGCGCGACAAGTTGTCGGGAGACAGACAGCCCGACGGACGGCCGCGATCTAGTGAGAGAACCGGTGTCGGTGTCGGTGTCGGTCTGCGCGTGGCTGTGCGTTGCTGCCGTCTAGGCCACGAGATCTTGGCTTAGCTTGCGAGTTATGTTGACGAGATAAGATCGACGGGATAAAGTTGCTCTTCGGGGCGGGGGAGCGGCAAGAGCAGCAGCAGCAGCAGCAGCAGCAGCAGCAGCAGCAGCAGGAGGAGGGAAGCGACATGGGGAACTGGCCGTGTTGGGTTTGCCAAAAGCGGCGAGTTTAGAATCAACGCGGGGCTGGGGGCGGGGGCGATGTAGTGAGGAAGCGGACACTGCCTGGAGCGTATCCACCGGAGGACCTCTTCATTTGAAATCACGTTTCCGGAGAAAAGTGGGAGCTGTCAAAGTCGAGTCAGGGAGGGAGGGAGGAAGGGGCGGGGGGCGTTAAGCTAGCAGCGAGCTAGCTGGCTCGCCGCACCGCTGGCTGCTAATCTCTCCAAGTAAGTGGTTGACCTCTCACCACAAATCACCTCCACTTCTACTCCTTCAACGCCATATAAGCTGCGAAATTTCAGCTGTCAAAAAAAGGCGATTTCGCTGTGACGCCACCTAGCACCGACGACCACGCCGACGCGTGCTTGCTTAGCGTAAAGGTGACCTGCCTCGGCTTCATTTGTCCTGTTTCTTACGTTTTAAGGTCCACACTGGGTCACGTTGACAGTTGCGTTTTGAAGCTAGTGTTTGGCACGCCTGCCTGCCTCACGCTCACACGGCTTCCTCCCATCCCTCCGTGATCTGCTCCGCTTCTCCTCAAGAGGGTGGCGGGCGTGCCGGAGCCTATCCCGGCTGTCTTCGGGACACCCTAAACCGGTCGCCAGCCCATCGCAGGGCACGCACGCATGCACAACCAACCGTTCGCGCTCACACCTCGGGACAATTCGAGCTTTCCGTTAACCTGCCATGCATGTTTTTTGGGAATATGGGAGGAAAGCGGAGTACCCGCAGAAAACCCACACAGGCACGGGGGAGAACATGCAAACTACATACAGGAAGGCCATACTTGTGTGTGTACACACACACAGTCTACTTCCATATGTACATACACATGGTGCACGTGTGCGCACTTTGAACGATTGCAAAGTTGGTGCTAATTGGAATTCATTTACTTTTCAAAGTGCAAAAGAAGTCCCAAACGCGGTTGTCGCGTATTGCTGTGTCATTTTGCAAACGGAGACGCGTCCCGATGCAGGCACACATCGCCAAGCGATTCTCCGGAATCACTTTGAACGGCCGCTCAGAACGAATGTCTTTGTTGCAAAGTTTGATGCTCCGGAGGACAAACGGGACTGAAAATGCATCTTCGGGGTGTCTACGAAGCCGCGTCCCATTTGGAAAGCGAGCCAAGGATGCGGCCGTTTCTTGGGGAGGGCTGAAATGATGCGACGCGGCGCCGTTTGTTTTGGGTGTTTTTTGCCGCCGTCGGCAAAATGGATTTCCTGCGAGTAAAAGATTGCGCTAGTTGCTTCGAGCAAGAGTCGAAAGGCGCGCCGAACGTCCGCGTGGGTCTCCGGCGAGCCTTATGGTGCCGAGGCGCAGTTTGACGCGGGAAGGATTTCACGGCGTATGTCTCTGAAATGCCAACTGAGGATGAGAAGCACGCTCGCCGGAAGCGACTTTCCGCTCGGGCTGTTCTTTCCGAAGACTTCTGTGGTCGTTGGCGTCGTTTGCCAGTCCAAATGTTCCGCCTCCATTTGACCCGCATCTTCACACTTGTTTTGAATGTTGCCTTGTTCCTCTTTTCTTTTCCGCAAAATGAAGTCAACGTTGCCTTCTTACTCTTTTTTTTTTTTTTTTTCTTGTGAAGGCAAGCGCAGCGAACTTTTTGTACGTATTTGACCAATCGGAGGCCGTCAAATTCTGCAATGATTTCACAACTCCTGTGATGAAAGATGATCACCCTTTCCAAGATCAATATTTAGAGGCGATACTCTCGCAGGGATCACAAATCAATTTCTCCCCATTTTTTAACCTCCCCCAAGGCTGCTCTGTAACGTGTTTGGCTAGTTGCGCACAGTTCCATAAAGCGTGCTACTTTATTGACGGCGGTGATTTGGAACAACGTTCAGGATGAGCCAACGTTTGGTGTTGTTGAGCTGAAGGTCTCGTGCGGAAATTCTCTCCTTGAACTTTTTTTCAGTGGACCTGGTTGAGGAGCGGCCCTCGGCGCCATGAGCGGACCCACAAAACCGTCCGAAGAAGCCGAAGCCGGGAATCGAGTTCTTTCCCCAATTCAATCTCTTTTTTTCTTTGTTTGTTTGTTTGCCAATCGCACCGACCGAAGGTGGCACGTTGCCGATGGCCTCTCGGCAAGCCGCGGACGCGCGTCCCGCCGCGCACCAACGCAACGGGAGCGCCCGTCGGGAGTGTCCGGGCAGGAACCGGGCCGCCGTTCTCAGGCTTCACTTGTATCACAGCGTCCGGGGAGAGCCCGAGCGCGAGTTCCTGGCCTACCCGGCCGGCCGTTACGTGGCCGAGGAGCTGTGCGTCGACGCCGCCAAAGCGTGCGGTGAGTACCGACGCCGAAGCGGCGCGGCGTATTGCACGCGTATCTCCCCGAGGGCCGAACGGCGGATCGCGTTCGAAGCGCCGGCGCCACGTAGCGGAACGCGGGCCGCGTATTTGGGAAAAGAAGCGCGTTGAATTGAAAGTCGGGGTGCGCGAACTGTGGCGCCGAAGCGAGGCCAAAGACGGTCGGGCCGGGGGAGGCGGGCCTTGACGGGGTGCTTGTGCGGCCGCAGGTATCTCGCCGCTCTACTTCAGCCTCTTCGGCCTGTTCAGGGAGCGAGACCGCCTGTGGTTGTCGCCCAGCCACCTTTTCCAGCTGGACCGCTCGGCCTCCGAAGACGTGTTCTTCCGAATCAGGTAGCCGGCCGCGACGGCGCTCGCCGGCGGGTTCCGAGCGGGCCCCCGTCTCACGTCCCCCGCTTGCAGGTACTACTACCCCGGCTGGTACGGCGCCGGCGCGTCCCGGGCTTATCGCTACGGCGCGGCCAAGGGCTCGGAAAGCCCCGTGCTGGATGATGACGTCATGTCGTACCTCTTTTATCAGGTGAGTGCGCTCGGCCTCTTCCGCCTCGCCGTTTGCACGTTGCCTGTTGCCTGGGGGGGCAACGAGCGGACGAGTCATCCGATGGTGTCGTCGTCTTTGGCCTGTCTGTGGCATTTTGCATTGCAATTAAGCTTGTGGCCATTTGAAAAGATTTTTTTGTGTGTGTGTGTGTGTGTGTGTGTGTGTGTGTGTGTGTGTGTGTGTGTGTGTGTGTTTAAATCACATTGTGTCACGTCATGTAGTTGTAAATGCAATAAAAATAATAACATTGTCATACTATGGAGGTGTACATGGTATTTGTACAAGATTATGACAATGAATTGTAGTCATACCATTTAGATCCTTCATAGCTTGAGTTCCAACTTAAGGCTCTGAATTTTTTATTTCTATGCACCTTTGTTGTATTCCTTTTTTTTCTACCTCTGAGTGAATGGGAATCCTGTAGTGCTTTCTAAAAACTTTCTGCAGCTTACCAGACGTCTTCCCCATGGCTGTGATATATGAGAATGCTTGACGCAAATTCCACTTAACTCTTGTTTCCTTGATGTCAAATGTTGTATGATGACAGAGAAACCCTGTTGCGAATTTTTCTCAAAAATATCAGCGAACTCCCATCCTGAATAATTTGCTATGAAATGTACTCAGCCTTTTTATCAAAATGCACTTCCCGAAACCCGCCAAAAGTGTGGTTTTACCAATCGCTCACATATTCTCCCACATCTCATTCGCACAGTGTTCTCCCCTCGCCTTCATTTGCATCATCCTCCATTCGCCTGATGAATGGTTGTCCCAAACACACATTTACAGGAAGCCAAATGCGTCAGCCAAATTCTGAACAGACAAGCAATGAGCAGATGGTCCCCACCCTGCCATGCTCCCCCATTCAAAGCCCCTGTCATCACAGTCAAAGGTAACAATAAAAGGTCTGTGGACACATACTTTAGTGTTGGCACCCTGAAACAAGCTCAGTCAACTAGCTTCTACAGTGTTTCAGCAATACTCTTCAGCAATGCTTGGTCCTATTCATCAATACAATTCTTTTTTTTTTTTACTCCAAATTGTTCACATGTAATTATGGTCTAACATGACAAGGATAGCATTAAAACGGAAAAGCTTTTTTTTTCTCTTTTTTTTAAATACAGACTACAGGTAACTGAAAATAACCTAATGTGCATCCCCGACAAGAAATTTGTGATGAAACATGATGCTCATTGCTGTCAGCTACTAACTTCTCAGGATTTAACCGAAAGTTTGCAATGCTCTAATTCCACCCTTCTGGGATGGTGATGGCTCGGTTCTTCGTTTGGGAGTGTGGCTGGGGGTTTCTGTGTCTCAATAAATATGCATTAGTCTATTCTGCCCACAGGCTCATGTGGCTCATGTTTGCAGCCAATCTCGAGCTCATAACTCTTCCTGAATTTACTAATTGAATTCCACGCTGATGCCAGAATTCCAGGGGATTGCACTCTCTTTCCTCTAACGTGCTGGCCTTTGAGATGGCCACACTAATCCACCAGGGGAAAAGGGGGGAGTAGATGTGCTGCTCGACTATGATAGTCCACGGCCCCGTCTCGTAAGTCCGCCCGTGACGCCGAGCCGCCCGTCGCCGCTCGCCGGCGACGCTGACGGGCCCGCCCGCGTCTCTCCCGGCAGGACGGAGTTTGCCGTCAAGCGACTGCAGCGATGCGCCGACGAGCCCGGCTCGTACCTTTTAAGGTGCAGCCCGAAGGACTTCGACAAGTACTTTCTGACTTTCCCCGTGGAGGGACGCCAAGCACCGAGCGTCGCCCGTCGCCGCTCGCCGGCGACGCTGACGGGCCCGCCCGCGTCTCTCCCGGCAGGACGGAGTTTGCCGTCAAGCGACTGCAGCGATGCGCCGACGAGCCCGGCTCGTACCTTTTAAGGTGCAGCCCGAAGGACTTCGACAAGTACTTTCTGACTTTCCCCGTGGAGGTACGCCAAGCACCGAGCGTCTGAAAATCTCGTCCCGTGCCGTCGAGGCACGAATCGCGCGTTCGGACCTCAAACGCCCCCCCCCCCGTGAAAAGCCGCGCTCTGGCGCGTCAGCCGTCACCTCCCCAACGTAGATCCGCGCAGATGGTTCTTGATGGTCTTTCCCCGTGGAGGTACGCCAAGCACCGAGCGTCTCAAAATCTCGTCCCGTGCCGTTGAGGCACGAAGCGCGCGTTCGGACCTCAAACGCCCCCCCCCGGTGAAAAGCCGCGCTCTGGCGCGTCAGCTGTCACCTCCCCAACGTAGATCCGCGCAGATGGTTCTTGATGGTGGAACACCACCGACTGTCATTTGAAGCCGCGGCGGCCAAACGTGACTCGCCTCGCGACGCGCGGG